AGTGAGTTTAGCAAAGTTGCTGGATTTAATGTCAGTTTTTTACAGAAAGCAGTTGTTTCTATATAAGTAAATAGGCAGTTAGAAAAGGAAATTTCAAAAAATACTATTTAAAATTACATATCTTAATATAAATATGTTATATTAAACTTGTATATAGAAAATTAATGTTGACAGAAATTAAAGAAGACCTAAATAAAAAGAGAAATATATCCATGATTTCAGATACAATATTTTTAATACTTAAGGGTAAGAGCTTTTTAAATGGATAAATAGAATATAAAAAGCAATATTCATAAAGGAAAAGATTAATAAATTGAACTACATTAAAATTAAGAACCTCTGTTCATTAAAAATACAACTATAGGAAAATAAAATACAAACCACAGAATGGAAGGAAATATTTGCAGCACATAGAAGTGACAAAAAGCTTACATCCAGAATATGTAAAAAACTGTCATCAATCGGAAAAAGATCTGCAGCCTAATAGAAAACAGGAAAAAAATTGAACAGATTTTTTAAAAAGTATATTCAAATGTGCAAAAAAGATTTTTTGAAAAAGATATCCAACCTAATTAGTAATCAGAGAAATGCAGATTAATACTACAGTGTAATACCACTCACATCCTCTGAAGTGACTAATATTCAGACTTACAGTGTCAAAGATTGGCAAAGATGTGAAGTAGCCGGAACTTTCTTATGCCATCACTTTGGGAAACTTGCTCTATCGACTAAAACTAAGTACGTGCACCTAAGTACAAGTTGTCATAGCAGCACTATTCATATTGGCCAAAAACTAGAAGCAACCTAAATGCCCAATAACAAATAGAACAGTAGAATGGGTGAATATATCATATTTCTGCAAAAGAATACTATACAGCAATGAATGAATTAACTACAGATATATATAACAGTGTGATGAATCTCACAAACTTAATGTTAACTGAAAGAAGCCAGAAATAAATATATACTGTATGATTGCATTTTATATAAAGTTCAAAAACTATAATGTTTGATGTCAGGGTAATGGTTACTTTGGAGAAAGAAGAGAAATAATTGTAAAATGACATATGGAGAGCTTCTGGAGTGCTAGCGATGCTCTATTGTTTGATCTGGCTGGATTTATTCCATTATTATTTTCTCCAACTTTGTTAAGCTATAATTGATGTACAGTAAACTGTACCTATTTGAAATGTACAGTTTGGTCAGATGTATGTATACATGCATATATACATATACACCGGTGAAACCACGGCAAACTAGATTACAAATATTTCTATTTTCTACCCTCCCCCCTAGATTTCCCCAAGCCCTTTGTAATTTATTCCTCCCTCTACCCTAGGCTCCAAGCAACCACTGATCTGCTTTCTGTCATTATAGTTTGCATTTTTTAGAATTTATACAAAAGAAAGTATATAGTAAGTACTCTTTTATGCCTGGTTTCTTTCATTCAGTAGAACAATTTTGATTCATCCACTTGGTTATGTGCTTCAAAATTTACACAACATTGTTTCTTTTTTGTTTTATTCTGTCATAATGAGAATATATTCATGTAATAAATATTTTTCAATTTATTTTAAAAGATCCTTGTCCCTTAAGCCATTTTTTGTTCTATGGTATAAATCCCCTTACAATTCTGCATCCTCTGCTCTGGATTAAAATGTAGAGCCCAGATCGGATATAATGTTCCAGGTTACGTCAGACTCTAATACTTAATCCAGTGGAACTGTTATTATACAGTAGCTAGGCACTGTGTACTTGCAGTTTAGATTGACATTAGCCCTATTACAGTAATGACTTATATAACTTTATGGCCAGCTAAAACCCACACAACCCTTACACCTGAACTGCTAAATCTGGCATTTTCCATCTTATCCCCTAAAAGCAAGTCTTCATATAGAACGTTTGTCTTCAGCATCACTTTATAAGCCACACAAGAAAATCATTAGTTATTATACCTTGTTTTTGACTAAAAGTTGTATTAGGTATAAGTTATTTCATATGGTTCAACTAATATCTGACTTCATGCCTCATCTTATTCATGCAGACCTAACTCAACATCATATTCTTGCAGTTTTTAAAAATTATATGTATAAAACCTGAATGTATTACAAAAAATTACTGTTCTTATCGAATTTGATGTGTATTTTTCCTTCTATTTTTGTACATATGAGTACCTATAGAATGTATACTGTTGGATTTTTTAGGGTAGTGGCACATTTTTTAAATAAATGTTATACTAAGTAACATTCTGCTTTCCATTTCACAGCATCAGTGAATGTAGATCATCCTTTCCAATCTTAGATATTGCAAGATTATTAAATTGTTAGCAATCATGGTTAAAAAATCGTTCATTGACTTATTTTACATTTCTAAGGCTTCTAGTGGAAGATGTTATAGTACAGAAAATTTTAATTGTAATGTGCTCAAATATACCAATATTTTCCCTTTTCTAATTTTTTTGTATTTTGTTAAAAATAGCTTTTCTACCCCTTGTTCATAAACATATTCTTCTGTTTTTTCTTGTAATACTTTTATAGTTATTTTTTTGTTTAGATCTTCAGTCTATCCTAAAATTACTTTTATGAATGTGAGCAAGATCTAACTTTATTTTTTCGTAAATAGTTAATAATCCCAATTTATTAATAGTTCATCTTTTCTCACTGATTTGAAAGGGCAACTTTATTATAGTCTAAATTCTCATTATGTACACACACACACACACACACACACACACACACACACACACACACACACACACACACACTGTGCCAGGTACATGGGAATTTAACGTATATTAGAGACTGCCTGCTATCCTGTTCCATTGATATATTTGTCTCCCGTGCCAGTACCACACAGTTTAGTCTGACATCTACCAATACAAGTTCCCTGTTTGTCCTCCCCTTTCAAAACTGGTTTGCTTATTTCTCTATTATACTTCATAGTATGAATATTTAAAAACAAGGGAAAACATTTGTCATCCTTGAGGATATTCAGATGTGCTGAAGACTTTGAGAACAGTTTAAAAAAAGAGGGCTCCAAAAGTATTTTGAGAGGTTGGGAGATAAAGCCAGATGATAATTTTGAAGGGGATGATATCCATTTTGTTTTAAGGTGGTTTTTTTAATAGTTCATTAGTCACTTTATTTTATTATCTAAGGTATTAGCCATCTCCCAACTTTGTACATTTTGATGTGTGTATATAAAGTTCTTGTATGTTTTTATTTAAATAACTCATAAAAATATCGAACACAGAAGTTGAGGATCAAGGTTTTTGACACTTCTCCTCAGTTCTGTGCAAGATGATACAGAGCCTTTAATATTTGATTTTGATTAACTAGTCCTGAGTCTGCCAAATTATACCCTTGGTCTCAAGAAAAGACTTGATCAGGTGCTTAAATTCAACACTATGTCCTCAGTAATCCCCAGTCCAACCCAACAGGGAAATGAAGTTAAATTCACTATGTCCTATTTATCCTTGCATTCTTATACAATACTAATCTTTTGGATAGTGCAGTGGGCTTAACTCCACAGAAACTGAGGCTTAGGAAGAGAAAACAATTCAGGAAGCACCAGTGGTAAACTAAGAGTAGGGTGTCCTGGTTATGATTCCAGGCTTGTATAAAACTTATCCCTTGCTTACTCTCCCTATGAAATTCTCTCCTTGCCTCCTCTTTCATTGCATCAGATCCGTAGTAGCAGAGGAATTCTTAGCCATGCAGTCTGGCTTCACATCCTGCATGCTTACCACTTACTGGCTGTGGTAGGTGGGCCTCCGAGTTCTCATATGTAAAATGCAAATAATAATTATAGTTCCCTTCTCATAGGGTTATTGCAAGGATTCAGTGAGACCCCATTAAACACTGAGAATAGTGCCTGGCACCGTAGATGTAGTCAAAACATGTTAGCCATCTTCATCATCATCATTATTAAGTCATTAGCACATTACATTTAACTTTCTTTGGCCTCAGTTTTCCCATTCGTAAAATGACGAGGTTGCATTAGATGATTTCTAAGGTTTCTGTTAGCTCAAACAATTACAATCTATGTTTTGGTGCTCAGGTAAGTAGTTTATCCCTACAGTCTAGGTATACTTTCCTTCCTTAACTATACTTCCTAGAAGAAGCAGTTGGACCTCCCTAGTACATGATGATCTGCTTTCTCAGAAATCCTGTGGAAAAAGAAATGTGGTTAACTTTGGCTTGACTGGAGAAGTCTCATTGCAGCGCTTGTAGCTGGAATGGAATGTAAAGTGTAATTTATTGGAGGTATAGTGAAGAGAGGAAAGGAATTGGAATCAAAGTGCATTTACACTTATTGTTAGGAAACAAATATGGAATGATGGCAATGATGGTAACAGTTCATGTTTATGGAGCATTTTCTTTGTGGGAGGCAGTATGCTAGCATGTATTATTTCATTTATTCTTTGCCGTAATCTCATTAGGTATTTATTCTTATCCCCATTTTACAGATGAGAAAACTAAAGCACAGATTAAGGAACTTGCTTAAGGTCAAACAGCTAGTAGGTGATAGAGTTGGCATTTGAACATATACAATCTGATTCTAGCACCCATGCTCTTAACCATTACACTATATTGAATCCACTCCAGATGGAGAATCAGTTGAGTTTAAATAACTAGAACACTTCAAATGAGTACATAAAATTCTTTACTGACTTTGTATTTTGAAAAATGACAAATTTATGAAAAAATCGAAAGACTAATATAAGGAATAGGTATATAGAATCAACAATTTACTTCATTTATTTTCTCCCTTTAAGATATCCTTTTTTAAAAAAATAAATGGCAGACATCATGATGCTCCTAAGAACAAAGACAATCCCCTAAATAACAATACATAGTACTACTATCACACATGGGAAGTTTAACACTGAACATAGACAATTTCAATAACCTTTAGTTTAGATAAATCAAATCTCCTGTTAATTGAAATTGCACTGCTCAAGAAAACCCTTATCAAAATCTGATTTTTTTTCTGCTCAGAAATCATATTCCATGCCCATTGGCATTGAATTTCAGAGGAGTTATGCAACAATTGTTCTAGAGCTTGAACAGCTGAACAAGGACCTCAACAAAGTTTTGCACAAAGTTCAACAGTACTGCTATGAGGTAGGTAATTTGCATGAATTTCTCTTGAGAGGCTATGCCCTCTACTCTTTTATTTGAAGCTTAATACTGTTACCTTTACATTTTAGAAAATCCAAACTAAGCCATTATCTTTTTAAGGAAAGAAAAAAAAAAAATGACACCAAACAGGTGGGACAAATAGCAGAGAAGTGGTAAGGTGATAGATTGAAATGTAAATATATCAAGAGAAAAACAACAGTTGGCAACCGTCTTGGTAATAATTGGTAAAGGCAAGAATCATCAGTAGATGCCAAAACTGGTGTGTAAAAAAGTTTGATGATGAACAGAATCTTTACATAGCCTCAAAATATCTCTTCAGGAATACTTATTAATTACAAGGGGAGAAATCCATTACTGTGAGAAAATCTGACAGACACTTAACTACCTTAACCAAGCGATCAAAGATAATGTCACCAGTAATGCCTCCTAATCATGATACACTGAGAATAACTCAGCTTCACTTTTGTGATATTCCTGCCGAAACTGCATAATATCAGGCTGATTTTGAGGAAACAGACACAATCCCATTGATGGATATGATATGAAATAATTGGCTGGTACTCTTCAAAAATAGCAAGGTCATGAAAGACTATAGAACTGTTCTAGAATAAAGGACTCTAAAGAGACAGGACAACCAAAATGTATTCAGGGGGAAAATAGCTACATGTAAGACATTATTGAGTCAGTTGATGAAATTTGAATATAGACTTAGAAAAAGATACTATATCAATGTTAAATTTCCTAATTGTAATAATTGCACTATTATGTAAGAGAATATCTTATACTTAAGAAATACAAACTGGAGTATTTAGGGATAAAGAGAATAAGGGAAAAGAATTGTATACATAGACAAACAGAAAGAGATCAAATGTTAAATGGAATAAGTTATAAACAGTGAATCTGGATGACAGGTTATTTGGAGTTTTTTGTTCTGTTGTTTTTTTTTTCCCCCAGAAGTTTGAAATTACATCAAAATTAAAAGTTAACAAAAATATAAAACAATAAAAAAACTTATAGGAGAAAAAAACTAAGGTAGAGTGAGTATCATTTTTGTTATAAATGCTAGTTTTGTAAAAATCCAAATCTGAAAACAGGGCACAAACACAAAGGAATGATCATGGCTCTGTGGATGTACATCTTACATTTCAATCATCTGTATTCAGCTTGCTCCAGACCAGGGGCTCCAACCTGCAGATCAGCCAACAGATATGAGACGGAGGTGTGAGGAAGAAGCACAGGAAATTGTTCGGCATGCAAATTCCTCAACAGGACAGCCCTGTGTTGAAAACGAAAATCTGACAGACTTAATCTCCAGGCTTACAGCTATTTTATTACAAATTAAGGTAAATTTCAGAGAAAATACTTTCTTGATTTTGACATCTAAACAACCTATGCTAATTTGTGGCTAAAAATTTATAACCCATAGATTATGTCAGATATTTTTTGTTTCTATTTGAACTATAATTCAATTAAATTTTGAAATATTTCTTCCTTTAGTGTCTAGCAGAAGGAGGAGACCTGAATTCCTTTGAATTCAAATCACTTACAGATTCATTAAATGATATCAAGAGTACAATAGATGCTTCTAATATCAGGTAATTCATTAGATATACCCTAATTATTTTTATATTAAATTCATAGTGATTTCCAGTACAAGTTTTAAGAGTTATGCACATTTGTGAAGTATTTATATAATTCGTATTCTTTAAATAAATTATAAAAGCTTTTTCAGTTATATCCTGTCTATTGATAAAATAGGAACTTCACATGTATTTTTTATATAAAGGAATCAGAAGACGTAGAAGTAGAGCTTAGAAACAGAGCTTCTCCAATCAGAGAGAGGTTCATCTAGTCCTCCGTGGCTCCTTGCTGCTTTTGAGCATACTTTTCCGTTACAACTGCCGTGGAATTAGGGTTAATGTAAAGGGAAGATTTATTCCTTCCCTAGAGTCATTATCTTAGCTATTTCCTAACTAAAATTCACCTCTTCCTTTTTTAGAAATTGTTTTTAATTTTGTGAAATAAAGCAGTTAACTGTGTTTCTTTTTTCTTTAGTTGCTTTCAGAATAATGTAGAAATCCATGTTGCACATATTCAGAGCGGCCTGAGCCAGATGGGAAACTTACATGCCTTTGCAGCAAATAACACCAACAGAGACTGAGTACATTTAATTATTCCAACTGCATAGGACATTGTGTTTGAGAAGTTCTTTTCCTTTATATAGGCTTCCAACACCAAATAACCTAACTCCTGGAAAACAAGGGAAATTTAAATCTCCAAATAAGGCATTTTAATATACTGTACTGCTTCTTAAACCAGCATTGCTAACCAGCATTATATTTATTTTTCTTTTATTATTCAGCTGCAGTAGCATTGCTTGTGTTACATATGATTATTAGCAAGTATTTTTAAACTGAAAATGTCTGAACATAATATAATTTCATGGAAGAATATGTTGACCATTTTTTTTTAATGTGCATGAATTCAACCCAACACATGCAGACAAATGCAGTGAAGAACATGAAGAAACATGGTCTTTTTGTACATATGAGAGGCAATGTGGAAATTCCATCTAGAAAATGACAACTCTGGTTCATTTAGTTGATCATCATCTCAGTCTTCAAAAGATAACATCATGAGATATGGGAAGTCCTATTTTGAAGGAAGGCACTGGAATATAGATGGGAAATATGAACTTTACAAGTATATATGCTATATACTTGAAATGTGACATGGATCTGTAGATCATTTTATAATAAATATTTTAATTTATCATAATTTATAAAAGAAACCTTTGTTTTATCTGTTGAAAGGAAATTAAGGAGCAGGAAAAAACATTACTTGCAAAATGCTAAATTTCAGCAAGTGGATTTGGCATGTCTTTTCCCTTCAATTCAGGGCAAAAAGTGCTATTGTTATGAGATTTATTTAAAAAAAAAAACTAATAACACACTATTTTCATATTTTTTTGTTTATTTGCACAACTTTCGAACCAGGTTGCTGGTTAAAATCCAACAGTACACAATTTATAAAGTAAAAAGATTTTATATAAGGAAAACAAGTAAAATAACCAGTGCTGTGAAATGCAGAAAAAAGGTTTGTATTTGGTTGTGGTTTTGTTTTTAGGTTTTTTTTTTTTTTTTTTAAGTTTTTTTGTTTGTTTGTTTGTTTAAGGAGAACCCTGCCTAAAAGGTTACTCTTGTAAAAAGTGTGTGTTTGGAATTTTCTTTGTTTTAATATAGAATATTATAAAGTCAAAATATAATAAATTGTTTTCAGATTTGGAGTTTAAGACATAGCTGTAGAAATGGCTTTGATTCTTTTAGATGTCTCATAAAATGAGGCTTTTTATATGTTAATGTATAATAAAACTGAAACAAGATTATTTTCCATTTGAAATTTTTGTATAGTTTAAAAATGCTTCCATATTCTCTGTTGATATTGTGCCACTGCAAAACTTTAGTGCAGAGTTTATATTTAGCTAAACTGTTATGTTAATTAAGAAATGCATAAATCTTTTATTCTTAATATTTCTAATTCTAAATAAATTGATCTATGAAAATTAATATTGTCTACATTTTCATTTAATTAATATAAGTTGATAAGTATTCCTCTATTTAAGAAATTTTAAAGAACTGTAATTTCTACTTTATTCTTAGGGGAAACAGTACCTATTAATTACCAAGTCATTCTGAATTACAATATCCTCCAATGTAAGTTACTTGGCTTGCTATAAACATCTTGAAAGGTTGATTTTAATATATTCTGCCTAGAATTAGGTAAGCATTTTTTTACTTTTTTTAATTTAAATTTTACATTAAGGCTTATCACACTTAAAGTATACCTCATTTTGCACACATTTAATTTAGCACTATCCTTGTCTTTTAGTGCCATCATGTGTTGATGGCAGGAACTGCATGTAAGGATAAGGATATCTGAATTTTATTTCTGTTTAGGAGAGAAGAAATCAATGTAATTCAAAGTAGTCATTTGGGGTCCGCTGTACATTAACTTGGAAGATGCTGCCACTGCTTAGCACATTTTTAGAGCTCTAAAGAAATCTGTCAAAGCCAGATTGAGCTAAGAAGCAAGCACATCATGTGTTAGGTAGATTTGGTTCTGAATTGCTTTAAATTAGTTTAAAAATCATATTCGCTTACTACCATTGAAAACCTACCAAAAGATCTGCCCATTAAGTTTTTTGTCTTGAATTCATGCACCTTTCTCCATCTTCATTGTTACTATTCTCAACCCAGGTGCCATCGTCACTAGCCTGGCACACTGCAATCATCTACTAACTTATCCCCAGCATCCACACAGCCCTCCTCAAACATAGCCATCATAAGTGATATTTTTTAAATGCAGAATTGATCATTTATCCCCATCTAAAGTCTTTTGGCTCTCAGGACAAATTCCGAACTCTCTTACAAGGCCTACCAAGCCACACACGGTCTGGCCTTCCCTACCAACCTCTCCCTCCTGCTCCGTACTCCACAGGGCCTTTGCCCGTGTAGTGTCCTCTGCGTTCCCTCTCCGTGTCACCTTGGTAACTCCTCATCATCCTACAGATCTTACCTTCAGCATCGTGTTTTCAGAGCTTGACTACAGCACGTCATCTCCAGTTGCTCATGTACCTCTCCTTTCGGCACTGTCACGTTTGCAATTTTATATTTCTTGTTTTGTGTCCGTACTGCCTTCTTTGCTCAATGAGGGGAAGGACAGTTTCTGGTTTTCTCACCATTTTATTTCCAGGTCCTGATAAAGTAGCTGGTCATAGGCACCCAATGAACAAATAAGAGTTTCAAAAGCGTTTTTAGCAATATTAGTGCCACTGGAATAAAAGTATGGTCTTCCATGATGATCACTTTGAAAGATGAGACTGTACTCACTTGGATGTAGAAATTCTGACTAGGGAGTTGCCTTTAAACCTGTCGTGTTATCATCAGTCCAGACTAAAAAGGCCAGGCTAGCCCAGTATAGGAGGCATTATGCGGTGGTGGATAAATGGCTGGGCTGAGTTAGTACTAGGTTGGAGTCCTGGTTGTCATTTATTAGCTGTGTGATTGTGAACCACTACTGAAGTTTCTTGATCTTTAAAACAATAATAGTCCCCACTTTATATGGCAGTTGTGAGGACTAAACATACAATGCCTGTAACACATTTAGCAGTTAGGGCCTTTTAAGAATTTGAGAGAGGTATAGACTACTGTTCTTAGAAGATCCTGCAACTTTGAAAAATAAAAAAGGCGACAAGAATTAAATATTTGTGGATTTTTAAATTGTTCCTTGGGAAAAACAATATAACACAATAGAAATGCAGTCATACAATTAATAAGCTAGTTACAAGATTTACTTTTAAATGTGATCCTTAGTGGACTGTAAGTTTAAAGTGTTATATGTCTTTTACTCTTTTGAATTTATTTGTATCATCTCCTTTGGACATGTCACAAGTCTGAATGCAAAGGAAGCTCTCTGTGAGACCTCCTGGCCACCCCCACAAACCCTGAGCACAATGTTTGGCACATAGTAAGTATTTAAAATAATAATAGCTACATTTGTCATCTCATTTTTGGTTTCGGACAGTTTTCAAGGGTTTAGAAATCAAGTCTGCTACTAAAGCATGAACTGTGTCCTGGTGGCTTTTAGTAGTGGATTTGCTATTCTGAAAAGTGCAAGCCATTTGAGTAACACCTCTACGAAAATTAGGGCAGCTAGCATGTATGATCTCTATGACATTCAACATAGCCCATCCTCTCCCAGTAACCATCAAACATGAGTCCTGGGCCTAGCCAGGGCTTCTCAGGAACCTTCCCCACAGCACCGTTTACAAAGAAACCTCACCCCTGGTTACCTCACACAGCTTCCTTTGGCCCTCAAAAGTTTAAAAGCCGTCAAAATATCAAAATAACTTATTTCTGGCTAACTTAGAAACAGCAATTCACATACATTCTTAATGTATAAATTGGGAAAAAGAAGTCTCCCAAAGCCAAAAGACTGTGACTAAACTTCGAACAAGCCAAAGATATGCTTTTAACCAAGTTGAATTTCTCAGCACAGTGACCTGCTGATAAAAATTACTGACTATAAATGACATTTGCAAACTTTTTTCTTTTAGAAATGTTTTTCATGGCCACATAATGGGCACTGAGCAATTGTGGAGCAAAGCACGATACTAAGTGCTGTCTAACAGACAATTCACTTAAATAGAATTACAGTGAAACATTTGTGGAAAACATTTAATAATTCACTAAAGTTGGACAGAAGTACAGCAACAAGTGCTAAGGGTAATGTTGGAGTGATTGTGAAGTAACAGATACAAAATCAGGATTAGACAAAGTTTCAGACTTCAGCAAGAAGCGGGTCTCCAGTGTTTTGAAAGAGAGAGGTATTTGGTTGGTTCTAAAACTGAAATGAATGACCTTGAGACTGAGGCATAACTTGTGGATGAGTGATCTTAAGAAGATCTGCATAACCACCCTGTAGGCTGTAGATGTCAGTTACCTGGGAGGGTAACCGAAAGGTTTATATAATTTGGTAGCCAGAGTAATTTCTTAAAAGTTGAGAAGCTAGAAGCAGAGAGCCCTCGAAATAACCTGGATGCAGAGTCACTGGAACTAGTACTGAGTTGATAACAGTACTAGTTTTAATAAGATTTCCTACTAAAAAGTAGTAAATCTTGGTGACAGGCTGAGGATTGAAGGAGCTGGGTTAGAGTTTAAGGTTGTAAGCCTTGGAGGAAGCATGAGAAGACGGCAGCTGTCAAGCACAAGGGGAAACTGGGTCAAGCTGAGAAGTTCTTGTGAAGATAATGAGTTCTGAAAAACGAGTCTGAAAAATAAGAACAGGACTGGCAAGAAGGAGCAGGGATGGAGACCAAACTGGATGTGCAGATTTGGAGATGGCACAGGTAAATATGAATGCCAGTACTCCTAGGGGCGTGTGCTACAGAGTAAGAGCTGGGCTTGGGTAAAGGTTCACAAGGGAGGAAGCTTCACAGGGGAGAGATGACCGTCAAAACCATCATCAAAGTTAACATGGATGTGTCCTTAAAATGGAAACCAGAAAGACAGTATTCTTATGTGTCTCTCCCTGGCTGTCAGTCATGGCTCCTCTGAGCTTATCTGGAATTCTAGAATCCTCAAGAGTTACCAAAGGCAGAAAAGATGTGTTCCTCCCATGAGTCCAGCTTTGAAACAATGTCTTCAGTGAGAGGAGAATAGGTTTCAAAATTCTGACCTTGGGAGCTAGGGTCAGAGCTGCCCACTCCAACCCTGTTGGGATCTGGCAGGCAGTTCACATCTACCTCAAGAGGCAGCAAGGGCTTCAGACATTTCCCTTCGGTTCCGTGAGCCTCCGGATGGAGGAGGAGCGCCGGCCTGGCTGAAGGCTGAAAGGACTTCCCGCTCTGACGCCGCGACTTGGCACGCCTGTTCTGGAACCACACCTGGAAGCAGGGACAGAAAAGCTGCTTTTGGTTAGTCTTTATGACTGTTACCTTCACAGTTCATACGAAGTTCCAGTTTAACATACCCTGCCTCCCTGCTCCAGACAGAACCGTTTAATTTTCAGAAAGCACTTGGGCCAACGGTTAGAAGTGCAGAGCACCTGGCGTTCTCTGCCTCACCATTCCCAGCTGCAAAACTGGAATAATGCCTCATTCCGCCTAAGCGTATAGGGACTTTTGTGATAAAAAATGGGATCGCAGAAATAGAAACTTTCGATTTGAGAGGAAATGTTACTATGCTTAAAGATGATAGGTATTAGAATAATTTAGAAAAATGGTTTTTAAAAGTACGTATACTCACTCCCTTGTCGAACTAACCAAGCAGGTATTTTGCTTAACGGATTTTACTCCCATCGACAATTTTTTTTGTTTGTTTGTTTTTTTGTTTTTTTGCTATTTCCCAAGCATTGCTGAAGGTGTCCTGCTGAGGAAGCCTCTGTGCCAGCTGTTAAAACTGACATGTATTCCACCAGGGATGCAGAAAAACAAGTCCACTCTCTCCCACGGTTCAAATGAGGCTCTACTTAAAACCGAGCTTGGACTCAGACCAGGGAGCTACAGACTAACAGCCCCAGGGGTAACTTGGTGAGCCATTCCCGTGTTCTGTCAGCTACCATCTACCAGGGGAAACCCTAACTGTGCCTCCTGTCTCTTCCTGGATAAGGAAAAAATGTGAAAATACACTCATCACCTTCTGGCTGAGGATTTACTTTCTGACCATTTCAAGGAACCAGCCAGCCTTCTCGGAGACGCCCTTCTACTTAACGAGACCAAGCTATTTAATTTAAAAAGCCCGATGCAGTAGGTACTGATATTGTCCCTATTTTACAGCCTGGGACACTGAGGCTCAATTTGCTGAAGGTCAAGTCAGTGGGCGCCAGGCTGCTGCCCTGGGAATCCTGGCTGCTAACGCCGGCGCCTCCACTAGGGGCGCATCGGCGATCGCGCGGGGCTGCGGCGGACCGCTCACCTGGATCCTGGACTCGGGGAGCAGGGTAAGCGCGGCCAAGCGCTCGCGCAGGTGGATGTCGGGGTACATGGTCCGGCGGAAGACGAGCTCCAACAGCTGCAGCTGCTCCGGGCTGAACGACGTGCGCTTGCGGCGCTGCGACGCAGACGGGGCGGCCGCGCCTTTGGGGGGCGCAGGCGGGTCCAGGCTGGCGGGGGGTGTCGGGGCTGGCCCGGGGCCCCTTCCGAGGAAGCCGGCGAAGGTGGCCGAGGCGCCACACTCCGGGCTGGGGCCTGAGGAGTTCGTGGGGAGCAGGGTGGCGGCGGGGCTCGGGGGCGGCAGGAGCGCCCCTCCTGCGTGCACTGGCGGGTACACGGGGAACACGGCCCTGTCCCCGAACTCGAGCTGGCGGGACCCTGCTGCGGCCATCGCTACCCAACCCCAGTGCGCCACCGGGAGGGGCACGGACTCGAGTTATACGGACCCCCGGGCCGAGGGAGGGGGCCCGGGGTGACGGCGCGATCAAAGGGTTGGACAAGGGGAGGCCCGTGGCTCTTCGGGGTGCGAGCCCGCCCCCGCCCCGCCAGACGCCGGTGGGGAATAATCGCTTCCGCTGACCGTGGGATGCAGGGAGCGAGGCGTGAACTTGGGACCAGGCCCCCTCCCGCCCCCTCCTCTGTCCATCCGCCCCGCCAGCGCCGCCAGCCCTGCCACTGCAATCCACATCCCCTAGATGCTCGGGGAGGGGAGGCTAGAGGGCCCCGGTGCGTGGGTGGGGTGAGGGCACAGCCACCGCTACCCGCCCCTCGGGTCAGGTCACCCACTCGGCGCGGGCCGGCCTATCTCTAGCCCCAGCTCGCCTTGCCCGCTGTCTCGACTGTTGTCATCAAAGGTATTTATTTACGCCCCCTGCTATGTGCTAGACCCTGTACCAGGTTGGTCAAACAGCCCAGCCCCTGACCTCCGCAAGCCTCCCTAACACATCCTGAATCAGAAGGAGGGGGTGCAGATAAAGGGACCTCAAAGGGGGACAGTATATTCACCAAGAGGAAGGGGCGTGGGAGCGCCCGAACCTTTTGTCTGGACTCCACTGTGGTCCTCGGAGTAAGGGCACCCTAAGCACGCAGTGTTGAAAATGTGCCCACGCGTGATTTGGCCTTTCTGGAGATACCCAGCGATGCTCAAGGCGCATCCAGCTGGAAGCGAGGACGTAAAGGGACTCCGTGAAGTTTCCATTCCCTCTTGCCTCTGACCTTTGGGCCTCGTTGAAGGGTCATATTTTGGCCTGATGTGTACTGTGGTTATGGTGTATGTATCAGCTTCCTCTCCTGGACTATAAAGTCTTAGGAACCCATTTTTCTCATTCAAGTCAATGGAGCATCTACTTGTACATTTGTTATGCAGCAGGCACCATGCTAGACGCCCCCTCAACCTCTGTTGAATTGGCGTCACTGAATTCACTTGCTAGAAAGAGAAACGCACGGTCCAGTATGAGAGCTGCTTCCCCGCAGTGGGGTCCTCAGAGGAGGAGCCCAGAGGCCAGGTCTTCTTGCTCCCAGGACCTAAGCGCAGACATCACTAGGACCATTCATCTGTGACTCAAAGGGGGCTCTCGGTAGGGAGGGTCTTTCAGGGTCCCTGTCCTGTCGCCATCCCTTCTGGAATGCTACAAGACAACCTCAAGAAGAGCTTGGATATTTTCATTCTGAATGGACTTTGCAGCTGTCAAAGTAGGAAGAATTCGTGGGGCTGCTGGAGAAGTTCTGTGCTTAATTCTCTCCTGGTAGGATGGGGGTGTTGGGACTGTGTCCCAGTCCCCTGCACAACCCCAAGGCTCTCAGAAGCAGCCTGACAATATTCGTTGCCTTCTCCTCCAGCTACCCCTACCCCTGACAGACAGCTCTTTCTGTTTCTTCCCCCACCCCTCCTCCCATCCTTTCTAATTCCCATGCCTGGTCGTTGAGGTTTTCAGGCAGAGGGTATGTGAGATGGGAGAGCAGGCCCTCTATTTTTCTGAGTTCATTCATTCTTTCATTAATTCAAAAGGCATTTCTGAAGTGTCGCCGTGCTAGGCCATGCTTTATGCGTGTTCCTATGAAGTAGGTATTCCTGTCCCATTTTATAGATCAGGAAATACTCCACCATCCTAGATGGGTCCAAATTACTCCAAAGCCGTTGTGCCAGGTGGGCCCGCAAAGTTGGCTCTGTGCTCACTGCTGAGTTCCCTGCCACCTCAGGAGGAAGGCAAAGCCCCTACTCTGCTCCAGTCCAGGGCGGGTGTTGCTTATAGGCACATTGGGCTCATTAAGTTCCCAGTTGCAGGCAGTGGTGATACAGCCAGATCTAGGCAGACCCAGGTTCTGTTGCTGTAGCTGTGGGCACCAGGAAGCCAGTCCCAGGAGGAATCCAGAGGTTCCCTTGCTGCTGGCAGCCAGCTGAGATTAAACAGCAGTCAGAGATGGTCCAGCAAGCCAGAAACTGTGCCAGGGTCAAGAGTCATGGGGATTCTCTCCTCTGCGTGGAAATTCTCCCCACATGCTCTGGCCAAAGCCTCATTCTTCTGGTGCTGTCTGCTCGCTAGTAAGGCCCCTGAGCTGGCCTGTTTGCTAGTAAGCCAGAATGAACAGGCAGAGACAGATGAAGGGCCGGGTCATAAATGGAAGCTGGTGATGGTTTGACGAAGCGATCTAACCATGCACGATGGTCTTTTCTCTGCCTTTTAAATTGGTCGTAAGAAATTCAGTATTCGGTTTGCAGCTTGATAACCGTGCAAACCAACTAAACAAGCATCATCTTATGACTTTTCCTGAGAGTTTGTGTGGTTAATATAATCTTCAATATTGAAATAAGATTTCAGCCTTTCCCCTTCTTGCCTCCTTTCACCTAAAATGAAGTTTTAATTGTGTGTGCTTGTACATATCTAAAAAAATAAACTCAGTGAGGATACAGTAGAAACCCAGAGTTGGAATTGGGAGGGCAGGGTTGGAGAGGGATGCTTTATTTCTTTTCCTATGGCGCCGCTTTATTATTTTTTTATCATGTGCCTGTATTATTGTTATAAGTACATTTTTAGAAGCTAGCTTTTGATGACTAAATGTAATGTGGTATTCTAGGTTGGATCCTTAGGAAAGAAAAAAGGACATGAGTAGGAAAACTGGTAGAATCTGACTTTAAAAAAAAAATTACTTTAAAAAACTGAAGCAGAGGAAGCGATGCTATGTATCTGGAAAGAGAGGTGACTCCCCGGTGAGAATGGGTTTTCTGGGGCTCTCGGTGTTTTCATTGACTAGAGTTCGCAAGATGGGAGCTTCTGAAGGGTCTCTACAGAAGCTCTGATGCGTAGGTTCACTCCAAAGTCAAGTTGTTTTCTGCTTTGGTTTGACAGACGTCTATAAAATCATAAGCGGTTTTCACTAAATCCCGTTTGTAGATTCCTTCATTACCCTGCCAAAAATGAACAATGAATGTTTGTTAATGCTTCTATACGCGTATCCCCAGTTGGAAAATGGAAAGAGCCTGATCCTTGGCAATATCTTAAAAAACAATTATTGCAGGTTATTTTCCCAAAATAGAGAATCTGTGAAATCGAAGCACATTTTATTTTATTTTTTTCGAAGCACATTTTAAATAGGCTCCATGAAGTACTTTCTTCTCCTGAAGCAAGTCAGTGTACCAGTTTCAGGATACAAAGTGAAGTTCAGGGCTTGCTGAAGACACCGTGGCTGAGATCAGGGGCAGGAGTCCCCTTCGCCAGGACCTGGGCTTGCTCGATCACTCACCACTGGAATTGCTGGGTCTGTCAGTCACATCTGTCAAAACATGTAAGGGGAGGGCAAGGTGAAATAGAAGACAGTCCTCAGAGATGCTTTCTGTATAATGGGGGAAGTCTGGCAAATATAAGTAAAGATGCAATAGAAAAGCAGTAAGCTAAAAGAAAAAAAAAAAAACTTATCATTATAACCATCCTGTTCTGCATCCTCAATATTTCCCACCACGTTTCCATCCCTACCACCACCCCCTCACCACCACCACCACCTCAAGGAGACCTGCCTTTCCTCTTTAAGTGCTAAGTACTCTCTTCCCCCGGCTCTCTTTGTTGTTCAAGTCGGGCCCTCCGAGCTGCCCTAAGACCTGGCTCAGGAGCCCTGGGTGTTTATTAGAGAGCCAGGAAAAGGCAGCCCAGGGGAGTCGATGGCTCTGCTTCCACCTTGAGATCCCAGAGCTGTTTGCCTCTTTGATCCTGGCCTTGCTTTGATTTCCTTTCCTCTCCTGCCCAGGCCTCTTCAGTTCCCAAAGTTTATTTCAGAACCAGTAGTTACAAGAAGTTGAGAGAGGACACCTCCCAAAAAGGTTTGAATGTGCCAGGAAAGTGATAAAATGTTAAGGAGGTTTTATTTATTGTTTAGTCGGTGCCATATACATTCAAATAACAAACACAAAATAGATTTTGAACTCAACATGTTGAGTTTTTTAAGATGATTTTTTTTTTCAGTTATTTCTACCCAAAGCCTCTGAGTAGAAAAGACCCCTCTGTACGTCTTTCATGGTCCCTGTTCACATAATGAACCAATAAAGTTAAAAAAAAAAACAACTTTTCAATCTCAGAGAAAGGAAATCATACATTTTCAACCTTGTGTCAACGCCCTTGAAATGAAGACCCGAAACAACTGGCAGATTATTTGGTCCTCAAACCTGACATTTATTTGACTTCTTTCTGGAACGTGCCTATTGAGCACTTTAAGTAGGACTAGTGTGACTGAGGAGTTGAATTTTTTATTTTATTTCAGTGTAATTGATTTAAGTAGCCAGCCACATGTGGCTAGTGGCCACCATTTTTAACACAGCCCTATATCATCATCTGGCAAATCACTCATTATTATTATGTTATTTTTGGTAATTTTTCAGATGTAGATACAAAGAGATATTTCGTTGGTACAAAATCATGCACTAGATTTGAATTCTGGACTCTTGTTTTCTTTGCTTAAACTGAACTTTGGGTCTTCGAAATGATTGCTTCATTTTCATACCGAACTGTCTCAGACAGATTTGGCCATCAGTGTGTTAAATATTACCGTAGCATGGGAAAATGGTCTTTCTTCAAAAGCGACAGTGTGAGAGCACTTGCCGGTGAGATGTCGATGATACTACAAGTTTTTTTTTTAACATTGTCATCTGATTTAACCCCATTTCATTTTGATCATTTTTTCCTCTTCTAACCATATAATGAAACTTTGCTTTGGACGTTCTCCGATTTTCTCGCTAGGATGTGACACGGTATTGAATTAGGGTACGCCACATATCTTGCATGAGGTCTCATTGAACAAGGGCAAGTAAAGAGAGGTGTCAGGAGAACACAAAGTCTGCCAATACCCGTCTTTTCTGCCCCAGAATAATTTATTAAAGTGTTAGCGAATACCCAGGGTAATCTGAGATCAATTCTGGACTGTGTCTCAGCCAGCACGTATTGGGCTTGTATTTCCAAAATATTGCCTTTTACTGGATCTATAATAGCCGAGAGATACCCGTGCAGGTAAAATACCACCCTAAATTGGTCCAAGCAAACACAGATTCTTGATGGATATAGGATATAACAAGGCATTTTCACTTGATCTTAGCCAAAAGGCCAAGAAGCGATACAAGGCATTTTCAAATAGATTCTAATCTATTTTAGTGTACGCTAAGAAGGGTGGGGGTTTTAAATGAACGGTTCTACTCTCTCAGGCAGTTGGGCCCTCAGCTTCCATAGTAACCCGAACCTCCAGCACTCATTTGGATGAGAGAGGAAGTCACACTAGCCGCCTCCTTCGTCAGATCGCACTCACGTGCTCTGAGCGCCGACTGCACACCAAGCACCGTGCCTGGTCTGGAATATTCAGTCGTATCTGAAAATCTGGACTATTTAGTCACAACTGAAAGTGACAAAACTATGAAATACTCCTGAAATAATTACTCTAAGAAATAATTTCAAGAGGCTCCCACTGGCCAAACAGGACAATTTTGAGGATCAATAAGAATAATAAGAGTAATAGATTGAAACACATCAAATGTTAAAATCTATTCTTTCATGATGATCATAAGAAAACAAAAATTGGTCACTTTTGGAGGATTCTAGAGAACAAACTCTTTGTCTTGAAAACTGATAAACAGAGAGA